GGTTAATGTGAATAGTATAATGAGGGTTCCAGACAGTAGAGGCGTAGCTAAGAACACTAACCACTAACGCCATATAAAGAGATTTGATGCATTGAATATTTGTGAACATACGGCAGGTCCTAATCACAAAACCCAACCGCTTTAGAGCCTTGGCAATAGTAAAGTCCACATGTAAATTGAACATCAGCCTGCTGTCCAATAAAACGCCAAGATCATTAATGTGGTCATTCGAGGTTAAAGTTCCGGCCCCCAATGTATACGAATTGTTTAGTGGATAACGTTTACGTGTGAAAGTAATTTTAGAACACTTATCATAGTTCAGGAACAGGCCGTTATCAGCGCAGTAAAGCTGGAACCGGTCTAGATCCTCCTGAAGATTTTCGGAATCACATTTGTTTGTAATGTTAGAAAATATTTTGCAATCATCCGCATACAACAGGAATTTTGCATGTTTAAAGCAAGAAGAAATGTCATTAATATACGCCACAAAGAGGATAGGGCCAAGATGGCTACCCTGCGGAACACCCGATGTGACAGGATTATAGGAGGATGCAACCCCACCAATCCTCACCGCCTGACAACGACCCGTTACGTACGATCCCAACCATGTCAAAAGACCTTGCGGTACATTAAAGGTACTTAATTTCTGCATCAGAATATTATGATCTATCTTGTCAAAGGCTTTACTAAAATCGGTGTAAACCGCATCGACCTGATTGGAACAATTGAGGGAATTATGAATAAAATTAGTATAATAAACTAGGTTAGTTTCCACCGATTTACCCGGTAAAAAACCATGTTGTTCCGTAATCAGGCTAGGTTTCAAGAGGTAAAGTAAATAAGAATATATGATTTTTTCAAAAACTTTCGAAACCAATGACAAGATAGTAATCGGGCGGTATTTAGAGACGTCACCCCTGTCACCGGACTTAAAAACCGGCAGCACAAATCCCCTCTTCCACTCACCAGGAAAGGAACCAATACGTAAGGACAAGGAAAAGATTAAAAATAGCGGTTTAGATAGACCATTCGCGCAGTGTCTAATAAAGTTACCAGGTAAATTATCAGGACCAGCTCCAGCTTTAGGATCGACTTCATTAAGAACGGACAACACATTTTCCTCAGTAAACCACGGGAGAATACCGGCTGAATCAGTCCGGTTAGCAATGGTAGCGCCGACAAATGCCTCATTAAAATAACGTGAAAACAGAGAACACACATCAAGGATATTATCCGCGACCTCATTACCAAGCCTCATGTGAGTGTTGTACAGACCTTTGTGGAAGAGCACCGTATACGAATGCTTCCATGGCTAGCTCGGATTCCGCATCTGAATCCGATGGAACATGTTTGGGACATGACTGGCCGGAGACTTCTACGTTATCCGGCTTCCTCGGCTTACGTTGAGGAGCTATGGAGGCGAGTTGAGGTGGCATGGTTGGCCATCCCTCTCGCTACAATATAGCGACTTATACACTCCATGCAACGTCGTGTAGCGATGGTACGCGAAACTCATGGGGGATACTCTCGCTATTGATGTTTCTCCTCCCAGCAGAGTTGTGCCGTTCTCCATATGAGAGTAAGTTACACTACTTTAGTACTACTTCTATACCAAATTTTATTGCGCTAGACACACGCGTTCAGATTATACAGGGTGTGCTCGTGAATTATTTCCAACAGTGTATCAACAACATGTGCAACTGGATCAGGAATCAGAATCTGCTTGATATTTTTCCTAATATTGATATAATTTTAAGAATTTACAAATCAATGGCAGTAAGCAATTGCTCTTCTGAACGGTCGTTCTCATGCTTGAAACGAATAAAAACATACTTATGTTCAACTATGACCGAAAATAGATTAAACGATGTAGCAATTTTATCAATTCAATCGAAAACTGCAAATTCGATATCATGTGATGATGTAATCAAAATTTTCGTTGAAAACAAATTCAGGTGACATTTGTGATTTTTTGTATATGAATTTTTATATTAATTTTTATTTATTTGAGTGAAGTTTTTGTTGTTTTTTTGTTTGACTTTAATACATGTTTGCACAACTTTCGCAGTTTTTATTTCATTTTCTACTTTTAGTTCTGTTACGGATATTCATAGGCGGCGAGTTCGTTCAGCCTATAAGCGGCACATTTGTAAATGCGCCAACTATTTGATTCTTTTAATGACTTCATTAAAAGTTTGATACAATATTAAATAGAAAAAATACAAAAATATGTTATTAAATATTAAAGCGTAAATGAAACCAAAACCTTAAATATTATGAGGTTCAACACGTTTGCGTTCATGGTGGTATGGTAAGGAGTCGTGGAAGAGGTTTACGTAAAATAACATATGTATAATAATTAAATAAAAATATGTATTTATCATGTCGTCAACGGCGTTTGATATAACACAATTATTAAATATCCATTATTTATATGAATGTTTTAGTACTTTGATGAATTGTCCTGCTATCATTAAAATTCGAGTTACTAATGAAGGTGATTGCCTACAAATTAAACAATTATTAGAGACACATGAAAATCATGATATGTCATCAGTAAATAATAGTAATAATAATAATTTATTATGTTAATAACCCAGAGGGCATACATTCGTCACAATCGAAATAGAAATACAACACAAAAATATATATAAGAAAGAATAAATTACTAAATACATTACATTAAACCCTTGATAAAATAATCGGCGTAATAAATCGGTGTCCGGTCAGTAGCGACAAAGGCACAGTCGTAATACGTTATAATCCTTGGAATATGAGTATGAAAATCCGTTTTGAAAAATAACTTTTACTTTTTAAGAAAACAATGTTTGAAGTTTTGATAAAATTTTCAATGTTGCAATTTTCATCGATAACTTTCAAAATTCGCTATAAAATGCATTTCTTGAAGAATCCTTGTAGAAATATCACCAATTATTAATTAAAGTATCCTCTTGTTAATGCAATAAGCCGTTTTGAAAAATCACATTCAGTTGGTGAGAAATAAATTTTTGAAATGATCGACAATTTTTTCAAATTTTGCATATTTCGAGCGATTAAGTTTTAAAAATTCGTGTAAAATCCAGTTCTTGGAATATGAGTATGAAAATTTCCCAAAGTGTTAATAAAAGTGTCCTCTTTCCAATGAACCAACACGTTTTGAAAAATAACTTTTAGTTTTTGAGAAAACAATATTTGAAGTTTTGATAAAATTTTCGATATTGCAATTTTCATCGATAATTTTCAAAATT